AGAAGTGACTCCGGCCTCTGGCCGCAGGAGCCCTCTGTCCCAGCCCCTCCCATCGGGCACCTCTGTGATTCTGGCCGCAGTGACTGGGTCAGAAATGAACGCGTGATGCGGTTTAAGCACTTAGGAGTCTTGGCTAGAATCTTCAGAGGAAAGAAACCCCTTTTCTCTTCTGGTTGCAAAACTGTACCACTGTGACCCCCTGGCTGCCAGCAGCGAGGTCGCTCACCGTCCGGGAAAGCGTGGGAATACAGGCCACGCGGAGACAAGAGGACAGGTGGAAGGAGGGGCCCGCACAGCTTGGAGCCCCACCCACCCAGCCACTGTATTACTATCTAGGACCCAAGGTCAGAGCACACGCCCCCTTTGGAGATGGAATAAACTACATTCCGTTGCCCCCTCCTCCTCCTCCCTTCGATGAGATCGGGCCTCGTGGAACACCCTGCCTTTGCTCAGCTCATCTCCCTTCCACCGCTTGCGCAGGCCTGCGCAGCGCTTACTTCATCAGCGTAGGAGCCCAGGGCTTACTTTCTGAGCGAATGAATCGAGGCACGAATTCCTTCGCACGGAACCACGCGTACAGCCAATGAAGGTGAATGCCTAAAATGGGAAGACAGCACTTCGGAGCTGACATTGAGAGGCCTTCCAAGCATTCTGGGAGCATATAACCTTCTCTGGGTACTGTATTCAACTTCATACAACATCTACAGAAAGTGGGGGGTCCCTTTGCAGAGAAGAAGAGTAAGGCTACACAAGCGGAGCAAGAGACTTGGGTGTAACATCCAGATGTCTCGTTCGATCTGTTGATTCCACTAACTAGATTCCACGAGAACCTGTGTACTGTGTCGCGGTGGGGACGCTGGTGTGCGGCAAGAATTTTTAAAACAGACACCACCAGACTGTTTTAGTCAGCGGCACTGACCTCCGCTCCCTTAGATCGTCAGATTCAAGAAAGGACAACAGCCAATGCAACAAAAGCTGCACAGTGCGAATACATCGCCAACTGTACCTATTTCTTTTTGTCAGATGGGTGAAAAATGTGCTTTGGCGTGTGCTGCAGAATTTTAGTGATTAGCTTATGTGTCGTGAGACGAAAAAGGTTGAAAACCACTACTATGGAGCAATGGATGCTCCTGTGTTAAAAGATACCTATCGACTGGTTTTCTAAGCAACTGTCACATCCCACGGCTGCCACTAGGCCAGCGAATCTGAGCCAGATGATGCTCACCCCTGACCGGCCACAGAAAACCGGAGTGGCAAGGGCTGCCGTGAGAGAGGGGACCAGACTGGGGTGAAGGCATCAGTCGGGGGGGCTCCAGCAGGACAGGGCTCGCTGAGAGGGCGGGGTGCGGCCACTTCAGACCAGCAGGGGTGCGGCGGGGCTTGAGAGGCCGTTCACACAAGGTGAAAGAGGGGTGCTCCCTCACGGGCTTCGAGGGTGAAGCGACCTGTACAAACTCACACGTGCCCTAGGCTGGTGCAATCAAGTCTGTGTCTGTTGGACTCACAGAGCCAAGTGGGAGGCCAGCAACAGCCAGCTTTGCGTAGGAGGCCTGGGCTTCCTAGAACTTTCTCCGTGTGGGGAACTCCAATAGCAGACAGCAAGTACTGAGTAAGGGAAATAAAGGTTAAAATATTTTTGATTCAGAAAGTTGAAAGCCTAGTGAAAGGGTAAGTAAAACCTGTGAGGTTAAAACACAATTTACAGGAGGGAGGGGGGAGGCGTGTGGCAGGGAATAAAACATATCAGCTATGGTCAGCGTAACGAACAATCGTTCAAGTTCAGAGGCCGACCCCATGTTCTCAATCAATCATCTACCGTGGCAGGGGGGCTTTAATCTCCACAGAGTGCGCACGGGTGAGTGCACACATGTGTGCGCTCCAACCCTCTCCCTCCTCTGGGCTGGGCTTCCGAAGCAGAAGCACCTCCGGGAAGCCAGCCCGCACTCAGCACACTCGCCGGGGCTCCATCGTGTGGAAGCACCTCACGCGGGGCAGATGGGAATAAAAACCTGTTTCCCTGGCAGGGTGCACGTGTGCAAAGTCCAGACTTTTACACAGTTCTCGAGGCCTGACCATTCTCTTCCCATCATTTCATATTTCAGCACCTCTGCCAGCAGGCAGAGGAAATACGACAGGGAAGTCAGTCGATGGGGAGACCAGAGTTGAGTCCAGATTGAGTTCCGCTCTGGAGCATTAGAATGTGATGTTATTTGGATTCATCAACATTTGTGATACTTCCAAAGAAGGCCATTTTAAAATTTATCTTTGGATTAGCTAGGCTTTTTTAATAAGACTTGTTAAAAAGTAAGAGGACAGCAAAATATTAAAGTGAACTTTTAACCCAATGTAGAGTTTAACAGCTTAAAAAACCTATCATTAAATTTAGTGGATATGAGAAATCATCATTATGAATTTCTAAATAACTTCTACACAATGCGCTTGGATAACTTGGTTCTAGTTCTATGAAATGATATTAAATAATAAGAGACATGCTTTTTTTAAATGTCACAATCCAAACTTTTTATTACTGTGTTGATTTTAATTATTGTTTAAATGTTTTGCCAATTCACTCCAGCCTTTATATTGAAGGCTTCAGGATATTAGCAACATTGGCTGATCCCTAATTTGATGTCTCCCGTGAATAACACTATTTCACTTTCCCCCTTTTTACTAAAATTTGCTGCTCCCAGCCCTCCGGTCTGCCTCATTTACAGGACATCCAGAAATTATTTCCTTAACCCTATACTAATTAAACTCTACATCTGGGTATTAAATCAACTACAAGGCAGATCTTGGGAACGAAAATTTTATTTACACACTGTATCTAGAGGCAGATACATAAATTCTTATACAATTAATTTCCAAAAATGTGCAAGAAATTACTATAATTTGTGTACAAACCAAAACACATAGTAAAATCAATGGACTTTGGATAATTCATTCTATGGTGTTCTCGGTACAAATGGTACACACCTGATTGGAAACATACAGAAAAGTGTAAACTACAGCAATCTGATTGCAAGGATTAATTTCATGGCACTCCAACAACTATAAAATTTCTTTAACCCAACATGTATACTTATTACAAAATTCTATAAGAATTTTTCATCATCTCTGGATGGACTGTTTGGATCACTTTTCAGAAATAGCAACTACACATCTACCATGTTGTGACTGATTAATTAAAAAATGTTTATAAAAAAGCTTTGCAGGATTAAAAAAGTATTCGAAGAAACCGAATTTCTGATTACTAACGTACCCATACTTTGTTTTAGAATTTTTAAGTTATTTATGGAACTGGTAATCGTTCCTTATTAGTTTTCAACAAAACTGTCTATTGCTGGTAGCGATTTCAATTTCAAATTGAGACTTCACATTCAATGAAAACTCACTAAAATTGAAAATATATTATCAGAGTCACTCAAAGCAAATCCCTCTTGCATACAATGTGAAATGTACAATAATTAAGACTGGCATTTCTGAAAGCACTGTTGAGAAAGATATTTATACTTCAGCACTAGCAGAGACATTGCATATAACCTCTATTTAAGATGTTAGTGACTTTTATCCTGTTTCAGTAATACTGGCTCAGAAAGGATAACGTATTGGTTTTGTTGCCTACGTGCCAATGATCTAGGCTTTGGCACATAATTTTCTTCAATAGCAAGATGGTTGCCCTGTGTAGCTGGTTTCCTTAAAGACTAATTTTAGCTCTATGATCATTTCCTGCGATATAATATTTTTGACCTCCTAAACCTTCAGATTATTGCACCAAGTAGAAAGAGGACAGTTTTCCTTGGAAAAAGAAGAGATATTTTTCAAGTACTTTCTATGCTTTTTGTTTTTTTTTTTAAATAGAAATGCATAATAGTGTCCTAGTAAGCCTGGAAATAGCTTCTGGCCTCCTTCATGTTTTGTGATGAAGTATCTGATAGAAACAACTCTGATTCCTTTATTATGGCAAAAGGATACAGCTTTCCTGTTTTCCTCTTCATGCCATGAGCTCAGACTTTTAAAAATCACCCACTGCTTGTGCCCATGTCATCTAAGCCGCCACTCAATGTAATCCAGAAATTTACCCAAATTGTCTCGAGACCCTGAACATTTCTCTCTTTTTCCCCCCTCTCCATTTTTAACCAGACTGTTTTTGGGATCCCATAAAGCCAATCTTTCAAGTTATTTTGCGTTGCCTGCTTCAAACCGGTTCTCTCCGGGCAAGCAGAAAATATTGTGGTACTTCTTTCTTAGTAAGTAATTTCTTGGCAAATCCATTTATTTTCATCAACACAGTATCAGACCCCATTTTACTTTAAAGTATTTGATATTATGGATATACAAAAGCACAGAGAATTGGCTTTCTAAACTAGAGGAGTATCAAGACTCATCCTCCATAAAAACACAAAACACAATTTTAAAAACATTCAAATGAAAATCAGGATAATCTTAACTTGAAACTAAATGGCTCGATCTTACACACGTCCCATTGAGGAAGACGTGGGAACAGCTAGGCCCACGTGCTACGTGGGGTTCAGGGCGGAGCCCGAAGGCCTCTGTGCAACATGTCCTCACAAGGGGCATGCAGAAATGCTTCTAGAGACCTGAGAAGCCATTCCAACATCTATTATTAATACACGGGGGCTCTGTGACAACGCCTGCCATCTGAGAGACGCGCAGGGACTAGATATACTTTAAATTGTTTAAAAATAAATAGTTTCGCAAAAAAATAGTTTAAATGTCTTGCATTAATTTGATAAGTTTACAACTCTGTAATAGTTCTTAATCCAAATAGCTTATAGTGAACACTTAAAATTATATTATTACAGTATACTCAATATCCCATCATATTAGGTGAATGCATCAGAAAAAATGAGTCTTTGTAACAAGGTACAACTTACATTCCACCAAAATTAAGTACCTTTTCCTCTTAAAGTCAAAATACCGTAACAAGGTATCATGGCACTATGCCCTTTCTTGTTCTCAGTTCTGACCCTAAAAAACAAAGAGGAAAAAATGGGGATACTGATCTGTCTGGATGACAAAGCCATTATGTCTGACCTAAAATCTTTACTGTTGTTCGTAAATGGGGGTAAGAGCTAGGAAAACTGAGCGACCAAGGAAGAAATGTCTTAAATTACCTGTTTCATCTGAGGTGGAAACATTTTCTGGATGGGGCTCTCCCCAAATACAACACCGGAGATTCATACAGTGAGTAAACACTACATTTCAAAATAGCTGAAAAGTATTAGGGATATCACACTCCCTCCCCCCCACCAAAAAGACTGAGTCAAAGAGATAAAATAACCACTGATGCCAATTTCCCTAAGACTTAAAAAGAAACAGATAGGAAACGTGTTTTAAAATGGCACTATCTACGGTGGGCAACAAGACCGCCATATATCTGAGATGGTTTCCACATTTTCCTGACGTGGTGTTCCATGATTTCCACAATTTTTCAACTAAGTCACTGGGCTTGCTGTTGGTTTTCTCGGTGGGATGAAGGGTCAAATCTAACATCTCTTAATAGTGATGATGTAAAAGGAAAATATAAATCCCACGTTAAAACAACATTTTCTTTCTATTCAAATCAATTTAAAACTTAATATAAAACTTGAATGTTCCAACAGAATCCAGTCCACTTACAGAAATCAGTTCTACATCAAGTTCACCCAAGAAAATGTTGGCTAAGCTAAAGAAATCACAGACAAAACATTTTAGCAAAGGAAAACAGAGAGAACACAAAAAGTAGCTATCACAAGAAGCTATGACCATCTATTGTTTCTTTAATATTTCTAGTTTCATAGGTCTTTATATGTTATGACAATTTGTACCAGAGCTTAAGGACGGAAAAGGCAACAATTTCTAAACTGGTGGTACATATTACTTTACAATTTTTTAATGTAAGGCCATTTATTAAAAGAGACAAATCACAAGATGAAAATGAAGGCAACAGAAAAGTCCAAATTTTCACAACCAAAGTTAAAAAAAAAAAGAGAGAGAGAACCCAGCACAACTTTAAAAATAATTTAGAAATGAGTGTCATAAAGATATGTTGCAGGTCCGTGTTCCCGTACCCAAGATTACATCAATTCATAATTCTAAATAGATCTTTCTCAAGTATGAGATTAAAAAATCATTTTCAGTGTATGTGTAAATTCTGTGTTTTATCACGTGGGTATGTTTACTCAACACTCTCTTTGAAATGGGCCATTTAAAGAGACGTAACAATTTTCATTCTACAGGTTTCATTCAACTTTACTTAGGGCTGAAGACACATGAAGTGTGCTTTTAATGCATAAAGATCACAGTGGATAGCAGCAAAGGAGGGGGGTGGGGCTAAGGAGAATCTAATCATTCACATTGTGATTATTCTGCACATCGGTGAAAGAGAATTCATACTTCTCAACCTTCAAGACCTCCCTTTGTAAAAAAAACAAAATAAACCCAAGACACCTGGCCAACACTTCCCCACCGGAAAACAAATTGATTACTCTTTTACACATAAAACTGAAATAAGTAATGGCAGCAAAGATTCTGATAGCAATGAACGTCTGTAAACTGTATTTCAATCTCTTTTTCTTCCTCCCAAAGTGCAGGACGCAGGGCTCCCCTCGCTTCAGTAGTGCTTCTCCTGCAAATAGTCCTTCATTTTGTTTGGCAAAGGCAGTTTCTGAATCAGGTCTATCCTGGTGTACTGACGTATGACGAAGCGACACAGGTACTGCAGAGAGCGCACCTGCATGAACCGTGACACCGGATTGGTCAGTCTGACGGGGTAAGTTGCGGACCCAGGCAGCCGAGACCTCGAATAACAAAAAGCTCCGTTTTCCGAGTCCCTGATTGAATGCTCGATTAGGTCCACGATAGACGTGTGTCCTTCCACATCTGGCTGCTCGTAGAAGCTAAACCTGCCGTTGGAGTGTTCGATTCTAGTGTGAAGGGTTTTGCCGTGGGAGCGAAAGCTCAAGCTTAGAAGGTAGCGGTCATCAGAACTATCCCGAACGAGAAAGGAACCGTCGGGCACGTTGGCCAGCTTCCCTTCTGCCTCCCAGCGTGTGATCGGTCCCCAGTACCATCCTTGTTTGGCAAGTTTTTTCAGCTCCTCGGTAAGGCTTGTCACGACCATGGGCCCGCTGCTCTGCACTGAGTCGTAAACTCTGGCCACCCCAGGGGCGGAGTTGGGATCAAAATTCAAATGACAGCGCACACTTTCCGCCACGTGGGCCTCCGTGCCTGTGAGCCCACTGAAGTTCCTTTGGATTGGATTCGTCTGCATAGGAGGTAGCAACGGAGAGAGTGGGGGGACATCGTCATGACTCGCTCTGGGGCTCTGCAGCATCACGCCCGTGGTGCCGATCAGCAAGCCGTTCCCCGACGGGTCCACAAAGATCTCAGGGGCCACCACGAGCTCCTGGTCCCCCTGGTGCTCGTCCTCGGGGAAGGAGCCCCCGCCCCCCGGGGCAGGGACCGCAGAGACCTCCATGGGAGACGACCCGTCCAGACAATAGCTGCGCGGCCCCTCCAAGGGGTACATCCCCTCCTCTAAAGGCACAGTATACTGAATGTAGTCCTGAGGCATAAGTCCGATAACGACAGGCACATGCTCATCAAGGTGAAGGTGCAGGTCCCCGTTGGGAGACTCCGAACTCTTCAGGGGATCCCGCGGCTCTTGGCACACGGGGTCCGACGGCAGGTCGCGAAAATCCTTGCGGACGCCGTTCAGCGCTGGGCTCGGGCTGGAAGAGTGGACCAAGGCCTTGACCCTCACCTCCATTTTGATGCACGTCTCCTCCGAGGTGGTGGGTCTCAGGGGCCACGGCGTCGGGCTGTAGTGATGGCTGCGGAGGGACGTGGACCGGATCGGCCGCTGGGCTCTCACGTCTTTGAAGACCATGGGCGCTGAGGAGGAGGAGAAGGTGTCGTCGTCGGCAGAGCTGCCGGCAGACGCGCCGCCCTTGCCCTTCTGCTTCTGCTTGGCGGACAGCCGCCTTTTCAACGTCCCCATCAGGCTCTCGCTTTTGGATCTGTTCTTGCCCCCCTTGTCGTCCTCAGCGTGGAGGTCGCAGCTGGCCATGTCCTTCCCGTAGCAGCTACCAAACAAGGAATCTTCTTTTCCAAAATCACTGGTGAGGGATGGTTGTTGTACGACCATGAAATCTGTGTCTTCTTTACTTTTATTCAAGTTGAAAGATTTCCGGAAGGTTTTAAGACTAATTTTCTTCATTATGACGAAAAATCGAATCCGAGGGGCTCACTCTCTCTCTGGAACGCTATCCTCGAACATCGGACAGGCAGCATGCAACACTGCATCGGTGTATCTTTCCAGCGTCATGTACCCTCGGGAGCCATTTTCTAAAAAAGAAAATAAAAACAAATGGTTGGAAGAGGTCACGTAGAAAAATTTTTCACAGAACTTTTCTTCTACTCAGTTTCAATCCTTTGGCCTTTGAACAAGGGCACCCAAGTGGGTGCGTAAGAAGGTCGGGCTCCTTAAAGGAGGGATTTTCTTCCGTTTCACCTGGCACAGCAGGGAGGTCAGTGCCTACTGCGTAACCAGCACTTGGCAAATATTTCATAATGCTGAAAGGTCAAACCCTCATCTGCCCACTGCTTCTGAATGACGGGTCAGACTGCGCGTCTTTCCACGTGCTCCTCGACAACACCCGGTCGCGCGGGCGGGGCCCGGCCACCAGCCTGTGTCCCTCAAGCAGCAAACACCCTGAGGAGGTGGGATCACATTGAGCTAGGAGGACAAGCCTAGTGGATTCCTGGGCAACGTATACAGATTTTTAAAAATTTAAACCTCCATAAAACTGAAAGAAAAAATAGCACCCCCCCCTTCTGTGATACATTCTCTGGGAAACGCCCAGCGACACCCCTCCCTCCTGGGAGGTCCACCCCCTCACACCCCGCCCCCCCCGCCCTCCCCCCAACACCCACGCGGCGGGGCGTGCCCGGGGAGCGCAGCTGGAGGGAGGTCACAAAGCATGGTTCCAGAACTATTATGTCTCCCTCTTCTTCTTTTCTTTTCTTTCTTTCTTTTTTATTTTTTATTTTTTGCAATTTTCAAACACAAATTTTTACTTCTCTACCCAGAAATACAACTTCTAAACATTTTTGGCATCCTCGTCCATCATTGAAATGGTACGATTTTGATTCCGTAAAGACTTTCTGACAGTCATTTCAGAGGGAAAAACGCTGGCCTCCTAAGTCCTATTAACTGTATTAACAGGTCCTGGGAATCATTCTGCTTAAATTACACGTTTCCTGCTCTTGGGGGCCATGTTCTGCAGTTTGTGCAACGACTGAAGTACAAGGTCATTACAAGATGATTAGCTTGAACTTGAGCAAAATGCTAACACAGTAAGAGGAAAATTCTGACCTCCCCGCCGGTCAGATTAGCGCCGCCCAGTTCTGTGGTGAAAGACTACAGCTCTGACTTTGACGCCACTCATGGATTCACTGTGCGTTTACTCAATCTCCTACACACGCCGTGCTGTGTGGCGCAGCGCAAGTTAACACAGGGCTGCTGGCCTCATGATCCAGGAGGAGGGAGAGCAATCAATGGGTAAATTATAATACAAACCTGTTAGTAATATAGCAACGTAACACACAGCAGGAGTTGAAAGGAGAGAGAGATCTTACGAACATTTACTTAGTTATAAATCGGATTTGCTTACTATGGGTACAGAATCCGCATGAAAGCATTTACTTTAAAAATCACTCCGATCAGACCACCTCCTAGGGGATCAGCAATATCATCTCTATAAAGGAAGAAGCAAGTTTAGAAAGTCTTACTCTTGTGTCCGACATTTTTGAGCAAGTTGTGGAAATTAAAATACATCTAAATATTGAGAATGCCCAGTTACTTTTGAACATTTTTGAACATGTTGTGTATTAGATGAACTCACTATCCAAGTACCACTACCTTCTACTCAAGCATAAAACTGTAACATTTAAGTTATTGACATATAAGATTTGTTTGACAAAAATAGGGCCGTTCATACCCGATGGCGATTTCTGGTTGTGCTTCCCGGCTGCACCCTGACCCGCTGCGGGACAGGGTGTGGGTAAAGCCTTGGACGCGTCTCGGGTCTCGGCGACCCTCCTGAACTTACAGGCCCCGCAGCTTGCCTGTGTTCTCTCCTCTGACCATCACTGCCATCGCGTCCTCCAAGGAGTCTGGACCTCAGAAAGGTCCGTCTTCAAAGAAAATGCAGTAAGTGGGGGAAGGGCGCACCTGGGAGGCAGCAGAGCCCCAGAGCCTGGTCCTCATGTCGCCATTTCCAGGGAGAGGCCATCTGGGCAGCGCAGACGAAACTAGTGAACAGAGGAGGACTTGACGATTGGTCACTGTGACAGAGACCACAAAGGAGAAGGTCACTGGTGACTACGGGGCTCTTCCTCTAGATTCTAGAACATCTGAGGCCCCCCCAGGCCCCTCGAATGAGCCTGTGTCCAGGCCAATGCCGGAATGATGAGGAGGAGCAAGCTGCGCAAAGGGAAGCCTGGAGTGGCCGGAACAGCCTTCCAGGCTGAGGGGAGGGCCAGGCCGAGGCCCTGAGAGGGGACCAGCCGGCGCAAACACGGAGACGCCCAAGGCGCCTGACGCCTGCGGCATGAATGGGGGGCACATCGCTGTCAAACTCAAGGCATCTGTCTGAGTCTAAGTGCAGTGCGAAGAATCAAAAGGTTTCAAATACCAGTAGGGTCTACTTTACACGTATACTGCCCAGGTTTTGAGCCCCTACATCATCCTCTTTAACACACACCCCCCAGCCTACCAGGAAAGCAACTTTGATGACAGAAAAAACAAAACAAAGCAGAACAACCCAGGGGTCTCGAATTGCCTCACTGTTAAAAAGGACTAACAGTTTCTTAACAAAATGTAAGACATTAAAACAATCACTTGGAATCGTTTGTAGCTCTAGGAGAATACTATCCAATTTTCCCTAGTAGGCCAATAAACCTCTTATATTTTCCTAATGATGGTTTGACTGAAAAAGTTCAAGTTCAACATAGAAGCATTGGAAAGACTCCAACCAGAGCCAGCGGCAGCGAAAGTTTTACTGACATCTAATCCCCATTTCAAGAAATTCGTCATAATGCCTCCGTTTTGCGGCATCATGTTGGTGACGCTACGGACCGTTCAGTTACAATGATCACTGGGCTGAAACCCGACACCTGACCAGAGATGGTCCTAACTGCAGACCCCACCGGAGACCTGGGAGTCGGCGCAGACACAGCGGCAGACACAGCCGAGACAGCGAGACAGCGAGACAGCGGGGCCCCTACGGACCCACCTGGGGCGGGGCGGGGCCGGAGACGCTGGGAGCCGCAGCGGCCAGCCCAGGCGTCAGGACCCACCAGCCGGAAAGCGCTGCAGAGGACGGAAGATGAAGGCCCCGAAAAGTCTTTACAGGGGTCTGTAAGCCCCTAATGCACGGGGCTGCGGGGCCCCACGTGATGTGACGCCCCCGTCCTCACACCCCTGTTCCCGGGCCCTGCCCCGGCCACCTGGACACTCTGGATTCGGCCACGCGCTGCCGTTCAGGCCCTGGTGCCGCAGGTGCTCCCAGCTGCCCCCGACTCCTGCAAGCCAGGGCGTGACTGTCCCCTCTCCGTGGGACCTGCCCGGACCGCGCCGCCCCCGCGGAAGCCGCAACCCTAACCCTCTTACAGGGCAGTGTTATTTTTTTCCAGCGTGCGACAGGACCGTCCCATTTGCTGTGTTCTCTGCCCCCCGCCCCCTGGCATGGAAGGATGCAAGCTTTACAGAAGCAGGGGTTTTGACTGCGGGCCATCCACTGGTGTCTCCCAAGTCCACAGCCTCTGCAAGGGCAGGGGGGCGGGGGGCGGTGGGGCGGTGGTGCGCTTGGTAATCATGAGTAAATGGATCCAGACACACAATTCCAGTCCCAGTCGGGTGCAGCCACAGGACACCCTGACCGCTTCCACCCCCTTCGGTCCCCGCCTGAAGAGACCGTGGATCTCTACTGAGGACGAAGGTACAAAACAAGGCCCTACACGGTCCGTCCAATCTTGACTTGATTTCTGCTCCATTCACATGGAAAGCATTCATGTTCACCATATTCTCTCTCAATACAGATCTGTTTAAGCTACTGGCCCTTTGATTTGAATTTGTTTTTCATCCTCCTCTTTGATTCATTTGTTCCAACTTCAGCGCATCTCTCAACCCCTCAGGAACCACGCACACCCCACTCCTCCTGACGACGTGAACCCCCCGGCACAGGCTCTCAGAAGACGGCTCGCCTCCCCTGCCCAGCACTGTCACCTGGCACGAGGGACCGTGTGCTCAGGCCGGTTGTATCATTATTTGATGCACGCCTGGCATCTCAGCAGACCGCCGTCGACATGAAAGCAGAGAGGATGTCACCTCTTTTCTCCGCACTGTGCCCCAAGCCCCTAGCTCACACCGGGCCCAACGAAGGCGCTCGGCAAACCCGTGCTGAATGGAGAGTGGAGGGGACTGAAGAAGAACACTCTACGGCGACAGGCAGCTCGATGCGGATGCGTCGCACGACTGCTCCCACGGGGCAGGCACGCGTGTCTAAATTACCCTCATGCAATTTGGGGCCATCGGGTCTGCTCCCCACTACTGTATCCATTTCATAGAAAGCAAGAGACTGATAACTACAGTTCAAGTGCTTGGTAATTATCTACTTGACTAATTATTCCTTTTTCAACTATCAATCCACACGCAGCTCAATATTAACATTAAGTAAACAAAATTCAATTCTAGACATTAGAAACTATAAAAAGTTCTATTAGGCCATATGGTCTTTTATCTCTTCCCTTCATTTTTTTAGGCAAAGATTACGCTGGAATTTTTAAGAGTATCTGTTTTTCTGTTTGCACTTCTAAAAATATATGCCATCTCTTTCTAGGGTTACCATCTGTCTCATGCTGCCTAAGGAAACGTTCTGAATCAGTTTTACTGCTTTTCTAATTGTAAAAATTTAAGTTTACACATATACTTGAGAATAATTATAACATTGCAAGGGAAAAGGTTTTAGACATGAATATTTTATACATACGGGCAGAAGATAACATCTTTAAGTAATTTCTCTTTCTTAAAAAATGATGGGACGTGGTCACGCCTAATAAAAAAATTAAAAGACAGCAACGAACTGCTTAACCTTCAACAAATGAAACAGCTTTTTATCGTCATTTCACGAGGGAGGAAACCGGGTCTCAGAAAGATGGACATTTGTCCGATGAGGTTCAACAACTGCCAGTAGCAAACAGCAGATCCAGACCCGGAGCCAGGCTGCTGGCCCCCGAGCTCCTGCAGGTCTCCTGGGACTGGCTGGTCCCCCGCAGTGGCCCCA